CCTGTTCTAACTCATCCCTGTTTTCACGTGTATCTGTGTTTACACAGTGTAGTTCAAAGTGGCTCCTGTAATAACCTGTCTCTGTGTATACACAATGTTGTTCTAACTCATCCCTGTTTTCGTGCGTATTCGTGTTTACACATTGTAGTTTTAACTTGCGCCTGTTATAACCCGTCTCTGTGTAGACACATTGTAGTTCTAACTTGCGCCTGTTATAACCCGTCTCTGTGTATACACAATGTTGCTCCAACTGTTCCCTGTTTTCACGTATATCTGTGTTTACACAGTTTAGTTCTAACTGATCCCTGTTTTAACATGTATCTATGTATACACAATGTAGTTCGAACTGACCCCTGTTATAACCCGTCTCTATATATACACAATGCTGTTCTAACTTATCCCTGTTTTCACGTGTATCTGTGTTTACACAGTGTAGTTCCAAGTGGCTCCTGTAATAACCCGTCTCTGTGTATACACGATGCAGTTCTACCTCATCTCTGTTTTCACGTGTATATGTGCATACACAGTCTACTTCTAACTGGCCCCTGTTATAACCCGTCTCTATGTATACACAATGTTGTTCTTACTCATCCCTGTATTCTCGTGTACCTGTGTTTACACAGTGTAGTTCAAAGTGGCCCCTGTTATAACCTGTCTCTGTGTATACACAATGTAGTTCTAACTCATTTCTGTTTTCACGTCTATCTGTTTATACACAGTGTAGTTCTAAGTGGCTCCTGTTAAAACCCGTCCCTATCTATACACAATGTTGTTCTAACTCATCTCTGTTTTCACTTGTATCTGTGTTTACACAGTGTAGTTCTAAGTGGCCCCTTTTATAACCCGTCCCTGTGTATACACAATTTAATTCTAACTGGCCCCTGTTATAACCCGTCTCTGTGTATGCACATTGTAGTTCTAAGTGGGCCCTGTTATAACCCGTCTCTGTGTATACACAGTGTAGTTCTAAGTGGGCCCTGTTATAACCCGTCTCTGTGTATACACAGTGTAGTTCTAACTGGGCCATGTTATAACCTGTCTTTGTGTTTGCACATTTTATTTCTAACTGACCCCGGTTAAAACCAGTCTCTCTGTATACACAATGTAGTTCTAACTGATCCCTGTTTTAACGTGTATCTGTGTATACACCGTGTACTTCTAACTGGCCCCTGTTATAACCCGTCTCTATGTATACACAATGTTGCTCCAACTGTTCCCTGTTTTCACGTACATCTGTGTTTACACAGTGTTGTTCTAACTGATCCCTGTTTTAACATGTATCTATGTATACACAATGTAGTTCTAACTTATCCCTGTTATAACCCGTCTCTGTGTATATGAATTGTAGTTCGAACTGGCCCCCGTTATAACCTGTATCTGTGTTTACACAGTGTAGTTCTAACTCATCCCTGTTTTCACGTGTACATGATTATACACAGTACACTTCTAAGTGGCCCCTGTTATAACACGTCTCTAGGTACACACAATGTTGTTCTAACAGTTTACACAGTGTAGTTCTAAGTGGCTCCTGTTATAACCCGTCCCTATCTATACACAATGCTGATCTAACTCATCTCTGTTTTCACTTGTATCTGTGTTTACACAGTGTAGTTCTCAGTGGCCCCTTTTATAACCCGTCCCTGTGTATCCACAATTTAATTCTAACTGGCCCCTGTTATATCCCGTCTCTGTGTATGCACATTGTATTTCTAACTGGACCCTGTTATAACCCGTTAATATGCATACAGAATGTTATTCTAACTCATCCTTGTATTTACGTGCATCTGTGTTTGCACAGTGTAGTTCTAAGTGGACCTTTTTATAAACCGTCTCTGTGTATACACAATGTAGTTCTAACTGGCGACTGTTAAACCCCGTCTCTATGGATACACAATGTAGTTCTAACTCATCCCTGTTTTTACGTCTATCTGTGTTTACACAGTGTACTTCTAAATGGCCCCTGTTATAACCTGTCTCTATGTATACACAATGTTGTTCTAACTCATCCCTGTTTTCGTGCGTATCTGTGTTTACACATTGTAGTTCTAAGTGGCCCCTTTTATAACCCGTCTCTGTGTAGACACATTGTAGTTCTAACTTGCACCTGTTATAACCCGTCTCTGTGTATACATATTGTAGTTCTAGCTCGACACTGTTATAACGAATCTCTACATATACACAATGTAGTTCAAACTGATGCCTTTTGAACGTGAACCTCTGTGTATACACAATGCCGTTCTAACTCATCCCTGTTTCCACGTGTATATGTTTACACACAGTGCACTTCTAACTGGCCCGTGTTATAACCCGTCTCTATGTATACACAATGTTGTTTTAACTCATCCCTGTTTTCACGCGTATCTGTGTTTACACAGTGTACTTCTAAGTGGCCCGTGTTATAACCCGTCTCTATGTATACACAATGTTGTTTTAACTCATCCCTGTTTTCACGTGTATCTGTGTTTACACAGTGTACTTCTAAGTGGCCCCTGTTATAACCCGTCTCTATGTATACACAATGTAGTTCTACCTCATCAGGATTCTACAGAATAAACACCTTCAAATCTGATGACACTTGTACCATTTCTTGAATGGAAGAGGTTCGGGATAAGATTGTTCAAATGTTTATGTGTCAGTACACTCCTACACTTAGCCCCTGTATTACATCTCCACTCTGTTACGATACATTACCATTACCTATTTGGCGTCATGCATGACGCTAAAAATAACCCTCGTGAGTGAGACGCATTCTATCCGATATCAGTGATACAATGTGTGAGTAACGGAGACTGTGACGTCACTTCCGACACGAATGGCGAATGGATCCAGGGTATTTATCAGAATATTTTAATGTTCTACCCTGGATCACCAGGATCACCCGATTGTGCTGTTGTATTTTTGTGACACCTGCCATAAAATTACATCCAAGGTGGCAGTCAATTATTAAAGATGGTACTGCAGTTATTCTTGTTTACTTACCCATTTTGAAATGGAGACTTACTTTTGCCTGAAGGATCCAATATAATTGTGATTAAACATTTCGTATAACTGTTTGAACACTTATGAAGTCGTTCAAATCACAATTGCTATCAGTCTCTTGAGGCGTATGAAATATTTAGGTTTATGTGTCTTATTTTTAACTGCCTGTTTGGGCAAATGTTATATTGACGAGAAGTACAATGTTTTACTTCACTTCTTCAACACGACAGAGTTAATGTGTCAACTGATATCACTTATGTTCCACTGAACAATGAGTAGATAGCCCAATCCAATCAGTGAATGACACACGAATGGTTTTTATGGTGTAATAAAACTTTCAATTTACATTTGGTGTCAATATTGATGCCTGCTGCTGAACAAACCTTTCACAATTGTCGATTGTAGGCATTCCGTGAACAACTGGAGGAATTGATTTCCTCTGAACAGGGAATTGTGGTGGAGTGTCATGCGGTGCACGTGCAGTTCATGCTTTAACTGCATTCATTATTGTAGATGATGATGTTTTGACGATAATGATGAAGATGTTTTGACGATAATGATGATGTTTTGACGATAATGATGATGATGTTTTGGCGATAATGATGATGATGTTGTGACGATAATGTTGATGACGTTTTGTCGATCAGTAGTTGTTGACAAGACTGGCCATGTCCTACCAGCAAACCTGTCACTCCTGTTATCGGCTGCATGAATTCTATAGATTTTCTGAAGGATGTTTAGCGAGCGTTCGTATAACCCCCTGATTACAGTCACACATTGCACATTCAATACACAGGGATGTATTTTCGAGAAGATTAAGCAAGGACACCTTTTCACATTCTACGACAAACACTTTAGGGCGCACCCCTCATTATACACACAACAGATGTCTCCTGGCCATATCATGTTCCAGTTCCACTGCCAATACTGTGTTACAGTTGACAGTATTAGACTTTTAATGTTATGTCTGCTACATATTTCAACAAAAAGAACCCTCAACTGGTTAAGGAATGTAACAGCCAGTAGTAGCGTTGTATTTTTAAAAAAAATGATTAAGCATTCCAGTGAGTGAGTGAGTATGGTTTTACGCCGCTTTTAGCAATATTCCAGCAATATCACGGCGGGGGACACCAGAAATGGGCTTCACACATTGTACCCATGTCGGGAATCGAACCCGGGTCTTCGGCGTGACGAGCGAACGCTTTAACCACTAGGCTACCCGACCGCCCCCTTAAGCATTCCAAAGATATTACCTGTTCGTATGTAGAGGAAAGTGATTATCGGGATCGTGTGGAATTAAACAATATTCTTTCTTGTTGCATATCATGGCACCAGTGACTCTGTCACAAGTTTGTTTTACGTTTACGTGCCAAGTGTATCTACCATCATCGAGAAAGTTTTATTTTAAATAAATATTTTTACATGCTACGTATTTGCCTATATCAAAGAGCATAGGCAGCATCCCGCCCCGGATAATTGTCAGAGATCAAAGTCCCTTTATTTGCGTCAGTGCGGCTATCAACACGGGTATACTGCTTATTCAGCCTGGTGGGAGGATTGGAACGGAAAAATTATGATAGCACCAGCTGTGATTATAGAGACCAATACAGGTGAATAGTTGCTGGTGTGACACAAGATTTATACTCGCACTCTGGCGGAGTGTAGGACATGTATCCACAGGAAATTCTCCTTTCTGTCAATACGTTCTAGTGCAAAATACTTCGAATATTGTTCCAACATTTTCTATAATTTTAGCGTTTCTATGATATATTTCAAAACTAGATATCAGCGCAGTCAATTTATTCATAAAGTTATCATTATCTACAGTATATCAACAGGCAAATCTAACAGCAGACGTTTACATGTCAGACTGAACAATGACACCTATACACAGCAGGCTATTGTGACGTACACATCCATCAAACCCATCGAGCTCCGTGAATTTTGTTGTCCAGCTGTCACAGTTGCATCGCCACACAAGATATAATTATGTTATAACACAGCATCCTTACCTAGTGACGTATCGTCAATCGCGACTTACATCAAGACATTGTTTTCTGACATATGTACATGTATGAGAGTATAGTCGGAAATAATGAACGCTGGTGCTTACGTGACAGTAACACAGGAAGGTTGGGGCAGTTCACAATTTATATTCAGAAACCTGAGGTGATAATGGAATTTATGGAATTCAATCGAAACAATATTAGACACAAAAAAACCTCAATGGCACCTCAGCGATATCAGGCAACAAAGATAACTCCGTTTTCCACTAGCCTATCTTAAAGATGGATATCCTCCAGTGTCCTCCACACATCGTGAATTTAGATTTGTCACCAGAACATGGCCTGCGGCATTCAGAGTCAGGTTCTTTGCTGTACCAATATATGATGAGATCACCACAGTAGCATTCTTGTCCATCCTGTAATCAATAGCAGCATGTGCATTACTGTATCCCAGTGCTCATTTTGAGGAACCAACACCAACGCCTCGATAACCTGATGTTAACTGAAGGAGGAATAGACACACTGGAAGTGTGGTGCTCGTCCAAGTCAGAAAAAAACTCATGTTATAATTCTGCAGGTTGCCAAAAGCAGAAATCTGAATATCTCGTGGTTACTATCCGGCATTTTCTGATGTACTGTTATTACGCAATGGTCTGACGTAGTGGCCATATGTACTGGTCAGATGTACTTCTCTGATGTACTAATCTGATCTACTGATCTGATGTACTGGTCAGATGTACTTCTCTGATGTATTAATCTGATCTACTGATCTGATGTACTGGTCAGATGTACTTCTTTGATGTACTAATCTGATCTACTGATCTGATGTACTGGTCAGATGTACTTCTCTGATGTACTAATCTGATCTACTGATCTGATGTACTGGTCAGATGTACTTCTCTGATGTACTAATCTGATCTACTGGTCTGATGTACTGGTCCATGAAAAGAAATCTACTAAGTCATTACAGCCTTCCATCCTGTCCATTTGGTATCCACACATGACAAAGTTGGAACTGTGGCAAACAAATATTCTTAGAGATAGCGTAGTGATGAGGCTACTGTTAATTATGTATATTCCTCAATAGTGTTTGCATCGTTACTACTGAATAGATAAAACATCCTTTCCTTAATACCATGTGTATCTGTACTGATACATACTGTGCTTGCCACTGGTAACCATGTTCCATAACGTAGCTAACCAGGATCTTGCCTTAAATTGACATTATATTGAATCGGTTACCATTCGAACTGTTCAATATTGAATATGTGGACATTTTCAATTTCTCATGTTATAGTATTGTAGGACCACATGGATGTTTCTTAGTTGAAAATAGATGATAAATAGAAATAGTTTTTTTTCAGCGAATAAACTTTAATTTGAGGTATAAAAAAGCTTTCACATGCTCGTCTCGGTATCTTGCTAGGTACATTTGCTGGTGTAATACTCATTGCCTTGGTCAACTATTGCATTGAGCCTGGGAAGTAAACCTGCTTGATTTCAAAATTAATAAGTGATAATCGCTATTTCAACTGATTTGAAAAATGTAACAATAATGTAATACACGATTAATGGTACGTGAATTGGTGAATATTTTAATCTTTTCAATTGTATCTTTGTCTACCTCGATTCCGAAATAGGTGTGGTGTCGTCTGTAGCAGCGTAGTTTGCAGGCTTCAATTGTCATGTATCTACGGTCCATGTTCAGGTTATGTGGAAGTAAACGGATCACTTGATCTCGGTAACACCCGACGTAGGTGTGTGGAACTGCAAGAGTAGACTAATAACGGTGATCACTGGATGTCATAAACATTTATCATCCAGAACTGGCTCCTACAAAAGATATCGCTTGGTTACCATGACGTCACAATCAAATGACATAACTAATGGCTCTGCTACTGAAGTTGTTAGCAGTACCTTTTACTTTTAAGAGACTGCTTATTACTTTCTAAAGACTGAAAAGGTTAGAAGAATGATATTGGGTGGTAAATAAAATCTCACCCGAGTGTCTTTTGATATCAAATATATCAACATTTGTTGATATATTTGATACCAAAAGACACTCCGGTGAGATTCTCTATATATTTGATATAGTTAGCAAACTTGAGTAAATGTTTAGGAAATATGTGAAAATTGATTGTTAAAATGTAAATAAAATAAAGTGCAGCTTACCACTGAACATGGTAAAAAAAAATCGAAAGTTAAAATGTATAACAGTGGTAGAATATTATGATCTGGCACATCGCATCATAGCAGAAGTAAATCTATATATTAAACTTTGTCCCAATAACACATACTGTTTGAGCAAGTTTACTGTTATTTACACAGCTTCCAGAATGTGACACAGAACATATTAAATTACTATCATGGCTTTCAGTTGCTATTTTTGTTGGATGTGTATAGTTAGCACTTTGTAAAATTATTACAGTAATAGAAACCGACATAATGACAGTGGCAAACACGAGGCTTGTCAAGTTCCACCTACCCTTTGACTGCTTTGTTGTGGCAGAACACGTTGTAGTCGTAGTCGTAGATGTGGCAGCTGTGGTAGTTGGAGTTGTCATAGTAGTGGTAGTGGCTTCTGATGGAAAAGTGAACAGACGAGGTAACATCAAGAGTGTAACATATGATGGTCTAACATCGCCACTCGCCTCTTTAGGGCCACTTGTTTTTATATTTTTTTCTTGAAATTTCTAGATACTAACTTGAAAATTGAAGATGTATACTGAGCTGAAATTACAAGATAATTATCTTGAAATTGTAATGTTTTATCTTGAAATTTCAACTTAATATTTTGAAATGTTAAGATACTGTGATCAATTTCAAATTACTAAGCTGAAATTTCAAGATACATATTTATAATTTGAAATTTTAAGATAACGTTCTATTCGTAGATGTGGGAGTTGTGGTAGTTGGTGTCGATATAGTGGTGGTAGTGGCTTCTGATGAAAAGTGAAATTTGATAGAATAGACGAGTTAACATCAAGGGTCAAATATGATGGTCTGACATCGCCACTCGCAGCATGTCAGAAGTCCATATTTAAATAAAACTTTGACCCACGAATCCAAAATGAAAAAAAGTGTCAAAAGGTTTATATTTATTATCTGTAATAGCCAGGAATGTTGACATCATTAATAATACCTAAAGCTGGATCAAAGGCATCACACAACAGATCTGTGTCACAATACAGCAATAACTACAGATGCTCTTAAGGGCAACTTGTTTTTATGTTTTTTTTCTTGAAATGGCAAGACACAAACTTGAAAAGTAAAGATACATAGATGTCCTTAGCTGAATTACAAGATAATTATCTTGAAATTTCAATATAATAAGTTGAAATTTTGCGATTTTATCTTGAAAGTTCAACTTATTATTTTGAAATTTCAAGTTACTAAGTTGATTGAAATTTCAAGATACATACTAAGTGTATGTAGTTTCTTGAAATTTGATAAGCTGAAATTTTAAGATTTAACTTATTATCTTCACATTTCAACTTAAGATCTTCCAATTTCAAGATACATACATATAAGGTGACATTTTCAGATAATAAACTTGAAATTTCAAGCTGGTATCTTGACATTTCAAGAAACAAAAGAAAAAGCAAGTGCCACTAAAGGCTTCCGTAATAAGGAGCTAAACACATTGTTTATGTGGGTATTAACAAACTTCTTGACATCAAATCAACGTTATATCCTTGTTATGGGATGTTAGTCCAGATTTGATGATGTTATATGACCCACACAATAAATATCAAAGTTGTTTGAATTGAATTAATAGCTAGGATATCATCTGTAGTCACATGGGTGTTGAAACAAATTGCTCATAATATCAAAGAATGTCAAAAGCCAAAATGATGTAAGCAAAAAGAATCAAGATAGATATCCGACACGAACAGAAATTAACACAATCATCGAAATATAATAGTATACTAAATGAGGCTATATATCAGCAAGATTCTTAATCCAATAAAAAAGTGTGGAAAACATATATACATCAGTATATGAATTAAATAAGATACTTCGGGAAAATCTTAAACATTCACCAAGAGAAAACCTGGAAGTTTATCAATAAAAACATCTTTAACACACTACCTTATAACTAAGCCATAACTTTAACAGATAACACGTGTGAGATTGCCATTTTATTAAATGAGAGTATAACAATTAAAGAAATTATAAATGCTGCAAGGGACCTTAAATGAAGCCCCAGACTTAGATCATGTTGAAAATGATTATATCATCAATACTATACTCATCTATACCGTCACCCTCATCTACACAGTCACCCTAATCTACACCCTCACCCTCTTCTACCTCCTTACCCTCATCTATCCCCTCACCCACGTCTACATTTTTCCATCTCAAGGGATAAATATTTTAAAGTGTCATCTATAAAGTATCTTTTAATCAAATACATGCTCATTTTATCATAGGTTTTTTAAAGGAAATAGAATTACTTAATAAATTTTGATGTACAAAGATATAAATTTAAAAATTAGTAGTATATGATCATTAACTGAGACTGTTAGTGGCTTTATCCTCGAAGTAGCGTGAAATTTAATTATTGTCCCCTGATAGGACATGTAAGCCCACATAAATCAAAGTAATTTTATATCTGCCAGTGTTTTCATCGTATTATATTTGTTGGTTTTAAATCTCCAGCTAAACTCTGTCAATGGTCGCCAGTGACTAAAGGGATGGTGTAAATCCTGCTGGGGTCCATGCAGGTAGCAAAGGTTAAGTCCCAATGGTCCTCAGTATGGTGACCTCACTTTAATTGCTGGTGATATCTAACCCAATGTATCTATTGTAATGTTATGAATTGTCATATTTTATGATTTTGTACTAGTTTTAGACATATATCTGTGATAATCTAGTTGTTTTACTGTCCTTCGTCGACCGAATTTTATACAGTTTACATATATATTGTTGAAGACAAATTTTATCTCGTCAAGACATGGCTGCAATATTGCCGATGTGACGTTAAATATTAACTCACTCTCTTCCTCACCCACGTCTACACCCTTACCCTCACCCTCGTCTACACCCACACACTCATCTACACCCCCACACTCATCTACACATTCAAACATATCTACACGCTCACCCTCATCTGCACCCTCACTCTCGTCTACACCCACATCTGCACTCTCACCCTCGTGCAGCCTCACCCTCACCCTCATGGACACCCTCATGGACACCCTCATCGGCACCCTCACCCTTATCTACAGCCTCACTCTCATCGACATCCACACCGACACCCTCATCCTATATATTACATGTAATAGTGATCGAGTGAATGTTTCACACTGCAAATATAACATGAGGTCTTGTCTTGTCATGTCTTGGTCATTAAAGGAGTCTTACCCTCAACACAGACTGCACCACCTCGACGTCTCTCCACACAGCGAGTGTTTGAAGTACAGTTCGCAAAGGAGCACGCACCTGCTGAAAACTAAAACAAAACATCCTAGAACCACTCCACTAGTGCAATGTTCCTTTCTTTAAGTGTGTGATGTTAAGGAAGACAATGTTTGTGAAGAACAGGTTTACCACCATAACTCGTTATGCTCATTAACCAATTCCTGACTGTACATGTTTGATAGGGTACTTGTATGTAGAGGTACTTGTATGTAGAGGTACTTGTATGTAGAGGTATTTTTATGTAGTAGTACATGTATATGTGGATATGTGTTTGTAAGGGTACTTGAATGTTGCCGTACTTGTATGTAGTGGTACTTGAATGAAGCTGTACTTGGTTGTAGGGGAACTTGTTTGTAGAGGTACTTGTATGTAGGAGTACATGTATATGTGGATATGTGTATGTACGGGTACTTGAATGTAGCGGTACTTGTTTGTAGAGGTACTTGTATGTAGGAGTACATGTATATGTGGATATGTGTATGTACGGGTACTTGAATGTAGCGGTACTTGTTTGTAGAGGTACTTGTATGGAGGAGTACATGTTTTAAGGAGTACAAGTATATGCAGGTAGGTGCATGTATGGGCACTTGGCTGTAGGTACTTGAATGTATGGGACATTTATCACTTACTCTAAGAAGATATTTGAAACGAATATTAACATATTGTCTCACTGTTGATAGAATTTGAGATCTTCACAATCACTGGGTGTGACCATGTAGACAGAATCTCGTTAGGGTTTGTGATTTTTACATTTGCCCAATGACCATGGTGAGTATTTTTGGGGATACCAAAGGTGATAGTTTACTATTAGAGGAAACTGGTTGTGAGTGCTTATACCATGTGGATAGGATATCTTTAGGATTTTAATCCTTTCTTTCTCTGTGGGTAATCCTTTCACGTTGATGGAAGGAGGTAACTCAATCAGGTCTTTACAATGGTTATGCGCAAGGCTTGGGGTCGCGAAAAGATCACTAGAGGTGTTGATGGTGGCTGGGCATGCAGCATACAGCATTTCCAGTGTAGGCTGGCACCTCGTCTTTGTTTCACTCGGTATTTAAAACCTTGGCCATTCACAGGTGCATTTGTCTATTTACAATGAAGTTGTTCAGCGTTCCCAGTATTTATATTCTATCTCACTGATAACTTGTTAACTGGGCAATAAATTTTAATATTCATATTATTATAGTTAATCAAATTGTAAATAAAACTTTAATCAAATTGAGCTATGCTCTACACTCCAAAAATGGCCGCCCTTATGATCTAATGTTTGGCAGCAACTATGCTCGTGGATTTCAGAGATAGATATGATGTTTTACCTTGAAGTTATTACAATAAGCGAAAATGTCTTTAAAGTCACAGCTTGTTGAATAGTACAAAATTAGTTTGTTAAAAATATATCAACGTTTTCTATCATAACATATTGAACACAATATTTGAACTGTATTGTCGTAAATAATCTAGTAGCTTAAACATGTATGTATCATCTTCATATGCCACGGTCCATGGCCAGAAAAGCAAATAAAGTTGTGTCTTATGACTTCTATTATCCCTGCTGACGCTATCATAATGTTCTATTTTCAGTCTGCCACACCAAGCGTGAATAAGTGTTATGCATGTGTTGATAAACCATACTGACGCATACACATTTTTGTAGATATGAACCTTTCTAGTTAATTGTTGATACACTGGGCACACATACATAACAAAACCCCGTGACCGATGAATTAGTACCTTGATATGCAACAAAAAAGATTCTTGGTTATTTCCAGGCCATCCTGATCATCGTTTACTCCTACATGCATGGTTAGAGGCAAGATCAAAGGCGCCGCCCAGCATTTATTAGACAACAAACAGGGTTGTAAGTTTCATTTGAACCACCATCCCCACCCTGTCGGTAGGGGTTATGTAATCAGTGTGCACATAACTGTGTCCAGTTTACCGCGGGGGTTGATGCGGTGTCAGTGTGGTTGTGTGATAGTTGTGCAAATATTCTTTGTATATCGTATATTTTTGTTACTAACTATCTCTATTTGCCTTTTTACCATTTATTCATTATGTGCTATCAATAATTAATTTATGGATACCAAGGAATGAAT